CATCATGCCGCGTAAACATAAAACCATGTCTGAATTTGTGATCGGACAAATTACAAACAACAAGCGCTACGCTACACTGCTCAAAACTCGCGTTTGAATCGTCAGTGGCAAATCCTTTAAATATGAAAACATACTTACAGGCTGTGAGTCAGCATTATTTGTCAGCATCATCGACTGTTGTCAGCATGTGCACCGAAGGGGAAACAGAGAAACTGAATTTACCGGAACACTGGCATTGTAGGCTACTCTCCCAGGAAACAGTCCTCGTCCTCCGTAAAATGCGATGAGCCAAAATATCAATGTAATCCAAATGAATGAAGGATTTCAAAAAAGGTGAGACTGAATGAAAGGACGATATTGGATACACATTTATCCTACCAAAATGAAGGAGCGAATGATTGAATTTACACAGGTGAGTTAATGTTTGAAAGAATCAGCTCTCCGTTCTCCGTTCATGTAAAAAAAGTTTAAAATGCCTAGTAGGGCATATATATTTGACGTGTAAAGTTATGTACATATATATCTGTATATGGCACTGCGAAAAAAAATTTCCCCCGTTGATTTATTATTGCGATTATAATGCTATTATCAATGCTATTTTTATATTGAATGTATCATTTGTGTACGTAGCCTAAGCACAATTGTCCATAAATATATAAATAGGCTATATATTGGTTCATCGATTAGTAGCCTATTAATTTACAAATCAGCCTCTCAAAAAACCTTCACAGGCCGCTACTGATTTTTGTAATACTGTATAGCCTATTGTAATATATTTGTAATCTAGAAATAATTTACATATTATTTATAAAATGTTTTAAGCTTTATTTAAGCTTTCATGTCTTAGCCTTGTGAGATAGCCTATTGTTCTTTAAAATATCTCAATCTCTGCCTTGTGTAATCTGTGTGCTTTAAACATGCAAGAGATGTTCTTTGCATATGTTGCCTTTTCTCAGGATAAAATGTAATTATATGGTCTGACACTGTATACCTGTTACCTTAACATCTTGGCCAGTTAACCTGCCCACATGACAGCTGCAGACTATAAGTGGACAAGCTATTTTTGTTACATGTTAATGAGGCATGAATTGTTAACTTATTTTTGATAAATAAATATTTTGTCACATTCATAATCAAACGTTGTTTGCATCATTTCTCTTGATAAATTACGTTTTAAAGTAAACTTAACATTGTGGACTGCAGACTAATAATAAATGACTGAGTGATCAAAAGTATAATACTGTGATTTTTGTTTTTTGTGGAATATCTTTTTCTGTGAAAGATGTTTTGAGTAATTATTTATTACAAAAATACTAACGTGCTGATGATGCATGATCTAGTGTGGCATTGTTGCATGTTACCTAGAATAATATTGCTGACTAGACATATCTCTGGGGAAAGCTCATTGGATGTCCTCCTGACCTGCATCATTACTATAGCCCAACAGACACTTGAAATTTAACTAAATTGTACTTAGTGGATGTACTTTTTTTAAAATGTTGAGGCATGCAATTATGTTATGTCTCCAAAAATCAAGATAAAGTAATATGGTCATGGTCAGTTTAAACAGAGCAATGAAACACTTACAAAACTGAACAGTTACTCCATTAATAATGTATAACAGGTGGGATCTATGACACTTCAGACAGCTCTGATTAATGACTACTGATGCATTTATGTTGATTGAACAAAGCACTGCTCACCGAAAGTACATGTACTGAGGGGAAGTCATTGAACGGTAAAAAGTGAAGAGAGGAAAGGGCTGCCCATTTCTTATTCATGATATTTAGCAGTTAAGAGCTCACACACTCCAGCTGCTGTTCTAACAGAGCCTCATAATCAAAACTGTAGTGCTTGTACTCTGTTTGGCTGATGGACATATTTAGGATTTGTCTAAAACAAATTAGTACTCAAATCAACTTGATATGTTTACTGTAGGTAGCCTAGCTAACAATTCATATAAGTTCATATGGGGGGGGGGGATGTCATGCACAGATCAGCCATTCTGGGGGTGTTTGCATCGGATTGAATTTACACAGGTGAGTTAATGTTTGAAAGAATCAGCTCTCCGTTCTCCGTTCATGTAAAAAAAGTTTAAAATGCCTAGTAGGGCATATATATTTGACGTGTAAAGTTATGTACATATATATCTGTATATGGCACTGCGAAAAAAAATTTCCCCCGTTGATTTATTATTGCGATTATAATGCTATTATCAATGCTATTTTTATATTGAATGTATCATTTGTGTACGTAGCCTAAGCACAATTGTCCATAAATATATAAATAGGCTATATATTGGTTCATCGATTAGTAGCCTATTAATTTACAAATCAGCCTCTCAAAAAACCTTCACAGGCCGCTACTGATTTTTGTAATACTGTATAGCCTATTGTAATATATTTGTAATCTAGAAATAATTTACATATTATTTATAAAATGTTTTAAGCTTTATTTAAGCTTTCATGTCTTAGCCTTGTGAGATAGCCTATTGTTCTTTAAAATATCTCAATCTCTGCCTTGTGTAATCTGTGTGCTTTAAACATGCAAGAGATGTTCTTTGCATATGTTGCCTTTTCTCAGGATAAAATGTAATTATATGGTCTGACACTGTATACCTGTTACCTTAACATCTTGGCCAGTTAACCTGCCCACATGACAGCTGCAGACTATAAGTGGACAAGCTATTTTTGTTACATGTTAATGAGGCATGAATTGTTAACTTATTTTTGATAAATAAATATTTTGTCACATTCATAATCAAACGTTGTTTGCATCATTTCTCTTGATAAATTACGTTTTAAAGTAAACTTAACATTGTGGACTGCAGACTAATAATAAATGACTGAGTGATCAAAAGTATAATACTGTGATTTTTGTTTTTTGTGGAATATCTTTTTCTGTGAAAGATGTTTTGAGTAATTATTTATTACAAAAATACTAACGTGCTGATGATGCATGATCTAGTGTGGCATTGTTGCATGTTACCTAGAATAATATTGCTGACTAGACATATCTCTGGGGAAAGCTCATTGGATGTCCTCCTGACCTGCATCATTACTATAGCCCAACAGACACTTGAAATTTAACTAAATTGTACTTAGTGGATGTACTTTTTTTAAAATGTTGAGGCATGCAATTATGTTATGTCTCCAAAAATCAAGATAAAGTAATATGGTCATGGTCAGTTTAAACAGAGCAATGAAACACTTACAAAACTGAACAGTTACTCCATTAATAATGTATAACAGGTGGGATCTATGACACTTCAGACAGCTCTGATTAATGACTACTGATGCATTTATGTTGATTGAACAAAGCACTGCTCACCGAAAGTACATGTACTGAGGGGAAGTCATTGAACGGTAAAAAGTGAAGAGAGGAAAGGGCTGCCCATTTCTTATTCATGATATTTAGCAGTTAAGAGCTCACACACTCCAGCTGCTGTTCTAACAGAGCCTCATAATCAAAACTGTAGTGCTTGTACTCTGTTTGGCTGATGGACATATTTAGGATTTGTCTAAAACAAATTAGTACTCAAATCAACTTGATATGTTTACTGTAGGTAGCCTAGCTAACAATTCATATAAGTTCATATGGGGGGGGGGGATGTCATGCACAGATCAGCCATTCTGGTGGTGTTTGCATCGGTTTGATTATGTTTGTGCGCCACCTACTGGTGAATTGGAGGAAACGTCACTGTCCGCAAACATTTTTTTAAAATTGTGTTCATTTAATCAAGGAAACTATTATATCATCATCGGAATTATATTGAATTGTTTCATATTGAAATATATATAGGTCAATGATGTTTATTGAATCCATTAAGCTTAAAAGGTTATTATATTTTATTATTTTGTGCTGAACATATTTTAAGTTATAAGTTACTATTTTTGGGAGGCTTAAAGTGGGCTAAATCATGGCTTTGAAAATAATTAAAATGATAAATTGTGAAAATTCTGAAATGCTGACATAGCAACATCATAGAAATTGTTTAAAAATATTTTCAGTATTTAAATATTATTAAAAATATAATTTGTTAAAACATTATTGTCTGCTAAACTAAAGTAAAACGTCCCATTTAGACTTTTTAATATGTTTTAATATAGGCTACATTTTGTTCAGTAAAGGGTAAATGAAGTAACCCTAGAAAAAGCGATATCAGAGGACATTGCAATCTGAGGATTTTTCATTGCTTAAAACTCTATGAAAACAATATTTCAAGATGTAAGGAAAATAATTGTGTTCACCTAATGGCTACACCACGTTTTAGAATCATTAAATCAAATTTTTGTGGAAAATAAATCATATTTTTGTGTAACGTGATTGCAATAATTACATTTAGGCCGATAAGTTGGCACATGACAGCATCTTAAAAAGATCTCTTTTCTGTCATGTCGGACATCATTATCATGTCTGTATAATTGAATTTTACAGAGTGATTTCTCCACCATGACAGAAATGATGCTGAAATCCAAACATTCAAACGTTTGGGGGGGAAAATCTAGGTAATTCTACAGGAAAATGAAGGTGAGAATTATCAAAACAAACTGCCTATATAATCAGCGTGTGCTGGAAAGCACTATAACCGAGTGTGCTGCAAAAATCGCCGTCCGTCCGAGTACATAGGCCTACACCCACGTTATTCTATAAATATTCCAACCCCCGCATGATCCAGTCTCAAGCAACACGCACGGAGCTGTGCGGCTCTATAACTCTTTTGGGTGGAAAAAAAGTCGCAGTATTCCACGAAGAAGAGCACTTTAGAGAAGTCGTCTTTTTATTGTGGTTATTGGTTAGTGTGGTCAGTTAAAGTATCTGTGCACATTAGTGCTCGGCGAATCAGATACTGCGCCAGTGTTGGCACATAAATGCTCTCGCGCATTGCGTGGACAAGCACTTGTGGCCACGCTCGGTCTGCATTGCGTCGAACCCCTCCCCCATACTGTCCTACCCCCCTCTCCCGCTCCGCGTTCTCCCATGTGCAATACAGTGCAACAATATGTTGGGCATGATTAAGGAATTATTCCCTCTCCCCCTATTGATCCCACCTTTAAGAAGCCTTTCGCATCCATACCCCCCTGTCAGTGTTTCCAGATAAAACAGACCGCTCGTCATCTTGTCTACTCGTAAGAGGGAAATTTTGCTGATGCAGTAATGTCTGGAAATGGTATGGTTCGCTTTTGCCCCCTTAATGTATCTCCCGCCTGAGCTGAGCTGCAGCATTACAATTTCTTATGCAGTATAAGCCATTTACACCAAGGTGCCGCCGCACGAGCAGGAGTGGAGGGAGGACGTTGCGGTTTCATGTTTTCTTTTAGCCTTTTTTTCCGCGTCTTGTCTTTTAGCACACTTTTATATTGAATGTGAAGATTTGTAATACATCTCAAAGCCATATGTATATATTTTTTTCCATTATAGCATCGCTTGCGAATGTCGTGAATCATTTCCGTTATGGATGTGACATTTATGGACCGCAACCGAACAGTTTGAATGTGAGAAGATGTGAAGAGCCTTTTACAAGCGTATTTTCTCCAACAAAAGGGAATCGAGGGTGCATTACTGACAGGAGACTGCCGGCAGAAGACGCAATCCTGCAGTAGCGAGGTGAGCACTAAAACAGTATGAATAAGCCTGAAGTGAAAGTCATTCTCATGTTTTCCTATCTATTTACTAACTCAAACGTAGCTATAAGCAATTCAATAATATATTGTGAGACTGTATGTATGTGGTGATGGAGTAAAAGTGACCCTGTCCTGTCACGTCTTTTCAATAGAATGAGCATTATAATTTAGAATTGCGCCCTTAAGGCTATGCACTTCTCTGATTTATACATACAATCACAAGTAAATAAATAAGTAGTGTGAACTTGCTGAGCTAGCAAATATCGCCGCTGTTCGATCCATTTTTCTCTGTCTCGGTGACAGAGGCAGCCGTAGTGGATGCAGCGGAACGGAGCGATGGTCGAATCAGTGACAACCACAGTGGGGCCACACTGAGGAAAGATCAAGTTATTCGAGATAGATTTGAGGGTCTGGAATCGGAAAAAAGGAAGGAAAGCGACGCCTTTGGGAGGGCAGTTGGATGTCTACTCAATTAAATTAACTGCTGCGGAGCTCCAACTTTGACCTGCAGGATGACAGTCGTGGCTGGGGACAACATGGACGAGACCTCTGCCGTGCCGGGGCATCCGCAGGACACGTACCCCCCTGACCACGACGATCACGAATGCTGCGAACGGGTGGTCATCAACATAGCAGGGCTGCGCTTCGAGACCCAGCTCAAAACTCTCGCCCAGTTTCCAGAGACTCTATTAGGTAACCCAAAGAAGCGAATGCGGTATTTCGATCCCTTGAGAAATGAGTACTTCTTCGACAGAAATCGCCCGAGCTTCGATGCCATCCTCTACTACTATCAGTCTGGGGGGAGACTGAGAAGGCCTGCAAACGTCCCGTTGGATATGTTCTCAGAAGAAATTAAGTTCTATGAACTTGGGGTCGAGGCGATGGAGAAGTTTCGCGAAGATGAGGGCTTCATTCGCGAGGAAGAGCGGCCCTTACCGGAGCGTGAGTTTCAACGGCAAATCTGGCTTCTGTTCGAGCACCCCGAAAGCTCGGGGGCAGCCAGAGGAATAGCTATTGTGTCCGTTATGGTCATTTTAATTTCCATTGTCATTTTCTGTTTGGAGACTTTACCTGAACTGAAAGGGGAACCTCAGGAGGTGATTATAGGCAACAGCACCTTCTACACCAAACCAAACATCCTGACCGATCCCTTCTTTATCGTAGAGACCCTCTGCATCATCTGGTTCTCATTCGAACTGATAGTGCGCTTCTTTGCGTGCCCAAGCAAAGCGGCCTTCTTTAAGAACATGATGAATACCATAGACATTGTGGCCATCATTCCCTACTTCATCACACTGGGTACAGAGTTAGCAGAGGACGCGGATGGAGAGAAGGAAGTAAAGGGCGAGCAGGCAACATCACTGGCCATCCTCAGGGTGATCCGTCTGGTCAGGGTGTTCAGGATCTTTAAGCTGTCCAGGCATTCCAAAGGCCTTCAGATTTTGGGACAGACCCTCAAAGCCAGTATGCGAGAGCTTGGATTGCTAATTTTCTTCCTCTTCATTGGTGTCATATTGTTCTCCAGTGCTGTGTATTTCGCAGAGGCCGAGGAAAAAGAGTCCTACTTCACCAGCATCCCAGATGCGTTCTGGTGGGCGGTTGTGTCGATGACCACCGTAGGCTACGGGGACATGGTGCCAGTGACTATAGGGGGCAAGATCGTGGGTTCCCTGTGCGCCATTGCCGGTGTGCTGACCATTGCCCTCCCCGTGCCTGTCATCGTGTCCAACTTCAACTATTTCTACCATAGAGAAACCGAAGGAGAGGAGCAGGCCCAACTCCTCAACGTGAGCAACCCGAACATTGCCTCTGATTCCAACTCCAGTCGCCGCAGCTCCTCGACCGTCAGCAAGTCTGAGTACATGGAGATAGACGGAGACATAAACAACAGCATCGACAACTTCAGAGAGGCCAACCTCAGAACTGGCAACTGCACTATCCCTAATCAGAACTGTGTGAACAGAAGTAAGCTGCTAACCGATGTCTAGAGACACAGTAGAAAATTCAGTCACGTACATATGAATGCTTACTTTACCTCCTCTCGAGAGCCCTTGCAATGCGAATATCTCTACAATGCAGACGAAAGAAAAATACTACACCAAAACATATAGAACATAACTGCAGCGAATGAGGCCGATGATTCGGTATATACTTAGTCTAATACATTTCCAAAGAGGATGATTGAGAAAAAAGCCTCCTTGAGCACCTAGCTAACGTCCACAGGCATTGAAGGACTCTCGACGATGGGATTACTAAAACATCACGCATGAACTGCAGACTACATTTCAGCAAGCTGCACACTGCATCCGGGAACGTGCATAAAAGACCAAGTGCAGTGTTCGGTGGACGCCTCGTCCATAGGTGGTCTTCCCAACTGACCAGCAAAGCACCTTATATGAACAAGACTTATCTTCTGCTGGGATGCTACGGAGGCCAAGGTCATCACCTCATGGACATCCGCATTGCTGCTATTTTCCAGCAGATGCTGTAATTTAGATATCACCAAGTGATTAAATGCCATGCCCTTTAGATATAAGACAGCACAATGCCGAAAGAGGAGCCTCATAGTTAGCATGTTTTGATTATCCTCATTTTGATATTGGCATGCGTCGGACATTACCTCATGACGATAGGAAATCCATTCCTGTTTTGCTTTTCTTTTGCGTTCGGTTCCATCAGCTCCCCTCTCCATCGACCTCCTCTCATTTGTCACCATGAAAAGTGCACTAGTGTGTCATGATTTGAGATGCTCATCATTTAGGTGTATTTAAAGACTGAATGTTTAACCTTACGGGAAACAGAATCTTAATGATATCATAGCATGTCAAAAGAACCTGCATTATGGCCTAATCAACTAAGGTACTGTGTATCCTAGTATATTTAATGCATGACATCGGTATAATACAGCTTGTTGCAATTGAGATACCTCATAAGGGTGTCGTTGTTACAATCAGGGAAACTAGGGACGTCGATTCCTTGACATTTTCTGAAATGTGACAAAATATATATGCAAGCCCCAACGCTGGGATGCAAACTTTTCAATCTAAAACGTAGTCAAAGACACAGAAAAAGAACTATCAAGATACTATCAAATGCATATACTCATACTAAGCGCACCTGTTAAAAAAAATAGTATAACTTAAATAGTGCAGTGCATGGGCATTCTCTCTCTCTCGAGGAAAAGAAAAAAAAGATAACTATGGGCAGTTATACTTCACGCTTCCATTTTGCGATCAAATTTAGGATTTACGATATCAAAAATCGCTTAATTTATCTTAGCAGGATGCAAAAGAGATCATGGCAGAATTACTCTTATTAGTTGCTAGTGCCTTTGACCCTCTCAGCAACCGGACAGGTGAAAGTGCCTCTGAGTAACTGGAGTTTTAGGCAGGGCAAGAGAACAATATCTGCTCTAGAACTGTCATAATGTATGTTGAGGCTGGTCATTACAGTGTATACAGAGTGCTTTTCATTTTTGTTGTTGTTCTTTTGAACGTGACACATGGTTGTCAGGCACAAACGCAAACCTGTGTTTCCATATGACAGCTGAGCTTGAATATGAAATTGGACATACGACTTTCACGCGACGGGACCTTTTAGAGTTTTCGATATGCCTTTCGTTGTGGTTTTGATTATGTTGTTGTGCCATAATAAAGAGTCTACCTCAGTGAGGTCGCCGCACAGCTCACTGCAGAGCAGAACACGAGAGTACATAACAGCCTGTGAAGTGTGATGCTACGTCAAAAATAATACACTTAGAGTACCCCAGAATTTGCCTTTTTTCAAGCACTTACAACAAACGCAACAATGCGACCGCCCCTGACCCCTCGGATCTGAAACGCTCCCTTGCTACGCACAATCAACGTTCACTTTGGTTCTGTTTATTCACAGTCCTTTTTTAAAAGAGAGGTCTGGGAAGAGAAAACAGCACAGGCTTTCATATACCACAGGGTACACAACCGTTTACATCGTTAAAAATCTGTCATTTTGAAGAATGCCGTCTAAAAGACATGTCCACTTAATGTTAAAAGTCATGCTTAGCCCATTAAGGCTATATTAAGCCTGCAGGTACTGTAAAGAACAAATTAAAATGCAGACCTAATTGATTTATTGAGTGTACTGATGACTTAAACATTAATGTGAAATCTTGTGTTTATGCTAACGTGGGCCATTCCAGTGCATAGAGCTACATCTTTCATTTCCATTGTCCTTGATAATTAAAAAACACTTTAAAATAGCCGCGATTGAATTAGCCTGTTTGGGGTAATTTCATTTAACTAACACAAGCAAGTCTGCCAGAGCAGCTCGTAAACAAGTTGCCTGACCATGTGATCTTTATCGATCCGTGAGGCGTGATTGTAATCAAAGGCTAACAGCAGTATTTTACCTCGGGCCGTTTCCTATAACACTAACATGGGTTTAGTCACCTCTGCCGCAGCTCTGTGTCAGGAAGAACTATTCAGGGTTTTATCAATCTGCTTTTTGTTTATAATTCATAGCATTGCTTCAGAGAAGAAAAAAATGAGCTTAGCAAGCAAAACAAATACATTTGATCTGGAATTAAAGAATTAACACACGTAAAAATCATACAACTTAATTTAATATGGAACAATTGTTAAATAAGGACGAACTGTTTCTACCGGGCATGCAAGCAGTGATCAAACCCTATGGTGCTATGCATAATCCTATATTTAATAACTACACCATAAATCATAGCAATAGGGATCAAGTGTGTTACAGGACTGTCTAGAATGCTTATTTTAATATTCACCAAGGGCTGTGGCAAACTTTTGATAAGAATAGAGATTTAAACCTACTATAATGCAAGAGAGAAATGATTTCCACCAATGATAGTGTGTTAGTTGACAAAATGTATATTTCATGTACTTTATGTTGAGAGACTGTAACAGAACAAAAATGTCCCCTTAACAAGTGTTGCTTCCTTTCCCTGTTGAAGTTTATTTTGCCTCTGATCTGAGGTGAGGATCAGTTATGGCTTAGAGGTAGGTCTTTTATCAGCTGAGTCTGTAGAGGTGTAAGTCCATAACATAACACATACTTATTTGGTTGTTTTTCTATTTATATATTTGCATCGCAAACTTTATTTCAAGAAAGGATGAAAGATCAAATACACTGTAGTGGAAAAATAAAAAAGAACTGACTGACGTGCCATCATAACGATTACTAAGTAACCCGATATGAACGCTGTCAAAAAATGAGAAAACGTAGTTGTGCTCCCAAGTTGTGGCCTTTTGGAGGATGTTGCAGACATATTTATTTTCTTCACCTGCGTTGCCTCGTCTAGCTATATTACCATGTTGCATCCATGTGGCACTATAGTTAACTGTGCTTTAAAGAACCCATGCCCTTGATAAAACTACAGTAGACTCGCAAACGAGTCCACAAGACAAGCCATTACAGATATATAGGAAGATTATACCTTGTATTATCGATATCATGAAATAAATAAAATAAATGACATTAGCATCGAAAATGTACTGTACATTGTACTTTTTTGTAATAACCTTAACTCCATACCAAACCTAAACTCAACAGCAACCTAGCAATTGCAAAAATCTGCATGGTGTATGGAAGACTGCATGAGCTTAGCCTTTCAAAACTGAGGATCAACTATATTCTGGTTGCATCATTTTTTAAGCCCTTGCTGTCATTTGTTCCTAAAGCCATCTTCATTATTTATACGCCATCGTTGTTCCCTTTTGTTTGGGAAAAATTCTTTAATCCGTCAAACTCCACTGATCAGATATTTGTATTCGGTTTATTTATTCATTTTGGCTTCATTTGAGATTTTGCTGTTTGCTTTCAGGATGCTGAATGATACAAGTCATGGATTATAATGTCATGGAAGTTAATCATTTAATTCCGCCAAAAAAAAGAAAGAAAGCAGGAGACCCAAACTACAAACAAAGACCCAAACAAAGTCCATAGAGTGATTCCGTACTGACCATCTCAGCTACAGGTTTATGTTAGACAGATGATGACTCCATGTTAATGTTTGTTCCATATACATCAGGTCAAACTGTTCATGTTGTTCATGTTTTCTGTCTTCGTTATGCTAAATTGTGTTACTGTGTTTTAATTTTGTCATACATTGACAAAGGCATGGTCTGTGATCTATGCAAGGGTTCTTTTGTTTCTTATGTCAAATATGATTTGATCATACATCCAAATCAATAAATTTTTAAGTATCAGCTGTCGGTGTATGGTACTGATTTTAAAGACTGTGGCTATGGTACATTTTCAAATGGTTTAGGTTTGAATACTCGTGAATACTCTACACTCTCGGTAAAACAGTACAAAACTGTCACTGGGCAAAAAAAACCCTTTTAAAAGATAATAATATGTACTTATAAAGTACTAAATATGTACCAAATGTGACCCTGGAGCACAAAACCAGTCATAAGTAGCACGAGTATATTTGTAGCAATAGCCAACAATACATTGTATGGGTCAAAATTATCGATATTTCTTTTATGCCAAAAGTCATTAGGATATTAAGTAAAGATCATGTTCCATGAAGAAATTTTGTAAATTTATGTTGCATCACAGCCAAATATTGTCCTATCCTTAGAAACCATACATCAATGGAAAGCTTATTTATTCAGCTTTGATGTATAAATCTCAATTTAAAAATAAGATGACCCTTATGACTGGTTTTGTGGTCTAAGGTCACATATGGGGTAAAATACTGCGGTAACACTTTATTTTAAGGTGTCCTTGTTACACATTACATGCACTTACTATTATAATAACAATAAATCATGCATAATTGCATGCAAGTAACCCTAAGCCAAACCCTAATCCTAGCCCTACCATGTACATGTAGTTACTTAATATTACTCAGTACTTAAATGTATAATTACACTGTAACAAGAACACTTTAACATAAAGTGTAACCAATACCGCCCCAGTGACAGCTTTGTACCTTTTTTCTGAACATGTACATTTTTTTGTCCCATTACTTTATTTACAAGCATTAGACAAACAAATCCCTTTTTTTAACTGAGACATGGTACATAAACAATTATCTTACATAAAATAAAGCATGAACAGTAGCTAGTTTAAAACATAAAATGTCTGTATTAACCCATAAAATTGTGATTTTTTAAAAATATCTATTACAATTATATCATAATTTAACAATTTTAACAATCTGTTGAAATTATATTCCATGCTTAGAAGTAAAAACTGTTTAAATTGCATACTTTATTATTTAACTAATTTTAATGAGCTAAACGTAATGTTTATCTGTTCTAAATGTTATGACCAACCCTGTTGTCTGCATTAATGTTACATTAGAAAACTGTGATGTGCAGGAAGTGACATCATTTCAATTCTTTTTACAGCATGACATGAAGACGTGAAGTACATATTTTTATTTTTTGTTCTTTTTTCTAATATTTATATTAGAAATATTTATCAAATGTTTAGCGTTGTAACACAAGCTATTGTATGGAGAAAATAATAAATTTGATGTTATTTCTATAATTATGAAATTACACAAATAAGAGTTTAAGATGTATTAGACATTTCGGCAACAGGGTTGACAATTTTTTCGCCCCACTGAAAACATTTGGTGTACAAACAGTTTTCGGTCAGAAATTGCTAGTAAATTTCATAATTAGTGGCAAACAAACAGCATTTAACACATGAATAAAAAAATTAAGTAGAAGGAATAAAGTAGTATTTCCTTGTAAAACATACAATTTACAACTTTGAAAAATCATTTTTTGCAGTGTCTAATTGTTAAAAAAATGCCCTAATATAGGATTTCAGGCCCCGTTTTGAACACTGTTTGTTGAACGTGACAATCATGTTGGAGGACTCTGAATATCCTGCAGTGCAGAGCTGAACACTGGACACTTTGTCTTTCATTCAAACTTATCAAAAACCTCCTGCAGCAAGGTGACAAAAAAGTGATTTAATTAAGAAGTAACAAGGATGGTCTATGGGGCTTTCAGTGTGGTTATGTGTATTGTAACAAAAAGCCCCGAGTCATCCAGCACACACTGAACAAACATGACAACAAAAGGATGTGAACGGGCAGTTTACATCATCAACAAGATGTCTATCTCCTGCTTTCAATCCACCTACCGTCCGCTTTCCTTTATATACACGCACATCAGGCACATTTGGTTTCCCTTGAGAGCTCAAAACA